AACCTATCATGACACATCCTCTTGGACTGACAGCATTCATTCTAAAAGACTGCACCTTGCCTTGAAACAATACTTTCCATTTTCTGCATGACCTTGAACCTGCCCTCAAGACCCTCACAATCTCAACACAACTTTTTTTATTATTCATTTATACATCCACTAATTTAGTGACATATAAGCTATTCTTTATTGGGCACCTGCTGGGTGCCAGAACCGTGCTAGCTCACCTCGTAGAATCTTCATGGAAACCCTGTGAGGTGGTACTGTGAGCACCTGTTTTTATAGCCTTAGAGGGGTTTCATGATGCCCATGATCATGTGACTACCAGGTGTCAAATCCAAGTATATATAACACCCGCATGTCATGCTTACAAGGGAAACTGTGCAGCTGTCTGCCCATGGCGACACATAAATAAGTCTAGAATTATTATCTTTCCAAACAATTTCACTTTACAAATCAAACAGCAGCACACTCTTATCAAGTCCTTCAGTGATCCACCTGCACCTACAAGTTAACACCCCTGCTCTGGCCTACGGTCCCTATTCCCCCTCCACTAGTACGTCTCCATTTCTACCTCTTCGGCCTCATCATGGCCACTCTCCCCCTTGCTCACCATGTCCATGCCCTCTGCCAAGAGTCTTCCAAGTGCAGGCCACTTGCACATGCTGTTCCTTCTACCTGGACTGCTCTCCCTTCCATTCTGCTTTTAACTAAGCCCTGATCCTCCTTAAGGTCTAGTGTTAAGGTCAGCTCATCAAAGATGTTTTCCAGCCCTTGAATCTAACTCCCGATTCTCTGGAATCGGGAGTTAGATTCAAGGGCTGGAAAACATCTTCCCCAGCTCTTATCACTTGTTTCTGTTGAGGGCGCAAGAATAGCACCAGGTGGGGTCAGACCACACCTGGGTTCAGCAACCTCGGTACTTGGGCTCTGGCTAGAGGAGAATTCAGAGCCAAGACGAACATTTATTAGGTAAATCACAGAGGTAGAAGAAGTAATTCCTAGAAAGGAACAGAGGAAAGGAAGGGCCCTTGGAGCTTTGGAGTGAGGAAGCTAATGGTAACATGGCTGGGGCAGGAAGGGGAAGAGAAAGGCATTGGTGTGCTCTTGGGAGGGAGAGCTCAATGGGTCCTCAGTCCTAAGGGTTTGAAGGGTGGATATTTCAAGGGAGGAGCTAGGAGAATATCTTAATAGAATATCCAACAGCTTTCCAGGTGTGTCCTTTCAGAGTCTAGGTCAGCGCCAGGACAGGGGGTCATTATTCAATGCAGCTGGTCCTGAGGTCAGCCATGGCTACTTTTCTGGGTCTGGAGCTGAAATACAACCGAGACCTAGACATTATCTCTAGAGAGGAAAGGTCAGGGGGTCCAAATCTCATGACCAGGGATATGCTAGGGAAGGAAAGGCCACTCTGAGGGTAAAGTCCTACAGTTATCCCTTGCTAGGCACTGGGGCTTTCTACCACATTTCTAAGTTAAATATCATTGGGAGTGATCATTTATTTCATGTCCCTCTCCCCAACCAGAGTGTAAGCTTCTCAGGGCAGGGACTTATCACTCATGCCAGGAACAGGCTACCTGCTCAATAAATATTTGCTGAATAAATCCAAGGAAAGAGATTATGTCCAACAGGCAGAATAAAAAGCCATTTGATTTGGTAAAATCAAATTCTGAGTGGTGCAGAAGTACCACCTTGGGCTTCTCCCAGAGGCCCTGCCCACTGTGGAACAGCAAAGGCAAGCTGGTAGACTTGCTGAAGTTTAGGATTCCCCTTAGGTCCTAGATCTAACAATGTGAACAAAAGAGAGATTATACAGGTTGATTCTAGGCCCCTCTCCCATAAGAACCAGCCTAATTTTTAATGCTGGGGGACAGTTTTGTAGCTAACTGCTTGTTTATATGTCCCTGGTGTCTTTCTCAGAGAGGAGCCGTGGTTTCTTAATTGTTTTGAGAATCTTAAGTTCAGATGAAGCCGGTAAACATATATGCTGCTCCCAGGAAACAGGAAGTGGGGATGACTGGGAGGGCTGCCCCATGTTCTGTAGTCCAAGATGGCCTGGTAAGAGTTCTCGCTCCGGGGTCTTAAAAGTGGGTTTTGATCTTCTTATGTTAAGGAAATGCCCCTCCTCTCGAGGAAGAAAACCTAAAGGAATGGGTCTTTGAGAGACAATATGATAGCTACCTGGGAGCAGATCCTTTTGAAAAATAGAAGGCCAGGTATGAGGACAAATTTGTAAGTTACCCTCTCTCCTCTAGACCTCCTGCACAATTTATCTGTGCTTGCTTTGCCCCATCCCCCACCCCCAGCGAGTTCTTCCTTCATATGTACCTTCTACTGAATTTGGTGTTCTGCTAGTCTGCCAGGCTCCTAAGGACAATGCTGCTGGGCCTCTTTTCCTGCTAGGGCACTGCTCAAAGTAGCAGCCACCTCTCTCTCCCACACACCGAAGCTGTCAACTTCATCCAAGATGGATGTTGAAATCTCCAACTGTAACTACTCAGTTTAAAACTGAGGAATTCAGCGTTATGTAGCTGTATGAAAATATTCAAATATTTGATTAATTCCATTTTCTCCTAACTTACGCTATATTAAAACTTTCAGAGCACTGCATATAAAATTCAGCCAGTTCCACCAACACAGTAAAAGGGGCCCAAAAGCTTTGTATATTAAAGACAATGTTTCTAATCACCAACAGAAATGAGAATGATTTCATACTGCATGGAACCTTGTTATGTGGAAATGATTATTTGAATATGAGCCATAGACTGAGACTCCCTCATGTTTGCGTATCTCAGGGAGCAAATAATACCAAACCCTTGTGTGCAGAAGGACAGACAACTGGGATTCTAGAGATGCCCCAAGGATTGTTTCTTTAATTCATCCCCCCAAATAATCCTATAATGCATCTTAAAATGCATTGACACAAGTCCTTTGTGTGAAGTTGTTATGGTTACAGAAAAAAAGAGTAAATAAATATTTGTGCACAGAGATAGAACATGACATTCTACAGTAAAAACAATCTCCTCTGAAAAAATTCAAAGTCAGAGATGATGCCATGAGCTAGTGATGGGTGTGGAGCAACCTTTAAATTCAGTTAATGGTGTTTTCATTATTTAATTATGGAAAATGGGGGGTTTGGGAAGGAGAGGTGGACAGACATGCAACCCAAGGCACACTGTTATTTGTTTATTTTCTATAGGTGATGTCATAAGCAAGGGTTTTGCCCGTGTTCTAGTCTATCTCCAATAAATAAATATGTACAAATATGCTGAGTTTACAAAATAGTAGAAAAAATCTTTGTCACAAAAGATACACATTTTTCCCCCATTCATATCTTCATCCCTAGCTTAGTTGAACCAAAAACCCTGTTTAGTGATGTCTAGAAGGGTGTACCTAATTTTCTACAGAAAATTAAGATTCCTCAGTTTCTTGATAATAAAGGCCCTGACTTGGCCTGCTACTTATTACTGAGCCTCATCCGCTCAATTCCAGAAGTTGGAAACTATCTGAAACCATTCTTCTTAGACCATACTGGCAGGTAAACCCCTGCAGATCTTGCTAAAATACAGATTTCCATGGAGTCAGTGGAGTAAAGCCCAAGTTTCTGCATTTCTAACCAGCTGCTGGAGGAGGGCAAAGACAGCCCCCATTTCTTGTGGGGAGCAGGTTCCAAGTGAGTGAGGTGAGAAGGCCTCTCTGAAGTGGGAGACATTCTGAAGGGCCTGATCAAGGTGAGGTGGCCTGGGCATCTGCCAGGTTCCATCCCTAAACTCCCAAATGCCCCCAAAACTGGTTTTATTTTAGCCTATAGCTGACAAAAACAGTGAGTCAAAATGGTAATTGGCATGAATCAGGCAACTCAGAATTTCTTAAACTATCTCCTGGGAGATGATTCCTTTTTCTTTCAATCTAGAGCAATCATGTGAACATTCCAACGCTGTTAAAAATAACAACAACAACAACAATAATAACAATAACAAAAATAATAATGTAAAAGGAAACTGCATAAAAGCTTAGCAACGATGACTACCTTTCAGTCCAAATCAAAACAACACCAATAATAAAACCCAGGCTCACTGTTTAAAAAAAAGCAAAAACAAAACAAAACAAAAAAATCTCCTTGGATTGAATTTCTAAGACAGTCCAGCAACATTTAATTTAACAAATGCCTCTCACATCTTAAACTTTGTTAAAATGATATTGGCTCTGGAAGCACGAAACTTTAGGCTAAATTAGCGAATCTGGTGAAAGAACAAATGCCCAGCCATTCTTCTTTTTAGTGCTTTTGCTCTCTTTCACGTAGGAGCTCTGACTGAGGCAGACAGCTAAAAGTAGTAGAGTCAGTCAGATGCAGGTAAAGTGACTCAGATGGGTTGGCCCCGTTCCTGGGAAGGGAACATTGAGAGGAATGAGGGGGGGGGAATGAGGCTTGGCTTCAAAAATGAGAGAGGATGGAACAAAAAAATATTCACCAAGATGATTTAACTACCACTTGACAAGGGGGGCTATATAAATACATAGATAGGGAAGGTAAGAAAGAGAGCGGGAAGGTAGGGAGGGACGCAACGTGGTATGAAGACACACAGGTAGGGAAAATAGAAAAACAAGTCGTAAATACTTTAAAAAAAATAAATATCTTCGTCATCAACGTGACACAGTCACACTCACTAGTCCATGGGATCACAGTCTGCCCAATAGTGCTCCCCCCTCTTGCCCTACAGAGGACAGGGAGCACTTTGCAATCTTCATATTCATTTTAAAATTGCCGTCTCTGCCCAGTAGTCTGGTGACGTGATGGAAGCAAACAGGGATGTGCATCCTCCTTCCAGTCCCTCCTCCCCAGCCATTCCTGGAGTCGCAAAAGAAGGGATGGGGTCTCCTCCAGTTCTGAGGCCAGCTAAGGTGCTTTGGGAGTAAGGCTGGGGGAGGAGGCCAGGGAATGAGGCACAGGAGGGAGAAAAAGCCAAGCCCACGCCTAGGGCCAGTCGCGGGGAGACCCCTCAGAGTTTCTGAGGCATCTGCTCTGTTGCCACGTGCTGCAGCACCACCTCCTTGGAAGGGACCCCGCACTTGTACTCCAGCTCGGCCTGCATGGAGCCTTGCTTCTTGCGCAGGTGGCAGAGGAGCGCCAAAAGCGCCACCACCAGACACAAGCTGGAGATGGAGATGCCAATGAGCACGCCGGAATGCACAGACCCTGCAGGCCTGGGGCTCAAGGTGGCGCCCGGTGTCGAGCTGACCGGAGGCTCCCCAGAGCCCCCGTCTCCGCCTTCGCCTTCGCCTTCGCCTCTGCCTCCGCCCACGGCGGTAAGGTCACAGTCGCTGCCAGTCTTGACCATGCCAGGCCCGCAGACGCACTCAAAGGTGCCAGGGAGGTTGTTGCAGGAATCGGCATTGTTGCAGTAGCCACTGGAGCATTCGTCGATGTCGGTGCACACCGAGCCCTCGTCCAGAATGTAGCCCTCGGGGCACTGGCATCTTTCCGGGATGTTGGGGTCGCAGTCGGCTGGGCATTCGGTCTGGTTGCAGAACATCTGGCACTTGTGCGGGGCGTTGGGGACGGGCGCGAAGCCCTCGGCGCAGATGCAGCGGTACTGCGGCGAGTCAGTCTCCCTCAAGGGCTGGCACTGGTACTCGCAGGGGTTCCCCAGGCACAGGTCCTTGACGCACTCGCCGTCCACCAGGTCGTAGCCGGGATGGCAGCGGCACTCGAAGCTGCCCTGCGTGTTGACACAGACCTGGGGGCACGGGCTGGGCACCTGTAGGCAGTCGTCCACATCCTCGCACTTGTGCTGGTCCGCGGCCAGCTGGTACCCCACGTCGCACATGCACGAGTAGCCGCCGGGCACGTCGGGGTTGCGGTGGCATAGGTGCTGGCAGAGTGTCTCGCAGGCGGCGGTGCAGGAGCGCCCATCGGCCTCCGGAGCGGCGTCGGCGGGGCAGAGACAGCGGGGCTCCTCGCCGGCGGCGCTCCTGTTGCACACGTGCTCGCAGCCGCCATTCTCCACGCCGCAGTCCCAGGCGCCCGGCCCGGTCCGGCCCCAGCGGCCCTCGATCTCCCCGGAACTCTGCTCGCACACCAGCTCCACCCCAAGGGGCGCCACCTCGGCCGAGCTGCCCAGCGGCAGCGCCTGGAAGTCCGCGCCGCGGGCCCCGAACGGGGTGCTGTAGTGGACGGAGACGCTGGCGGCCGCCGGGGCCCCGGACCCCATGGCGAGCGGCTTGCAGGAGGCTGCGAAGTGGAACTCGCAGAGGAAGCCGTCGGCCTCCGTGTCGCACGGCCGCTCCTCCCAGGACGGCTCAGCTGGGACGGGGACGCCGGCCTCTGAGACGGCCACGCACAGCGGACCGCAGCGGGGCGCGGGGGCCTCGTGGAGCCGCGCCCACCGGCTGTAGCTGGTGCTGTTGTCACCCGTCACCCACTGGAAGCCCCGCAAGGGACCGAGGTGCCCCGGGTCGCTGCAGCCTGGCGGGAGCGTCAGGCCGATCCAGAGGCGCGGGCTCTCGCCGCCGCCGCCGCCGCTCAGCAGAAGGGAGATGACATCCGCGGCCACCGAGGAGCGCACGGTCATCAGGTGGCCCCGCAGGCGCTCGCAGACCTGGCTGGCGGCGGGGAAGGTCGCGGGGCCCCGGAAGAGTGCAAAGCAGTCTTGTCCGATGCACTGGCTCCCGTGGGGCTGCGGCTGGGGCTGGGGTAGACCCCGGGCTGCAGAGCCCAGCACGCCGAGGAGCAGGACCCGCAGCATGCTGCCCCGCACACCGCGTGCAGGCGCTGGGGACCGCGCAAGCGCCACCGCCGGTCCGAGCCCGGCCGGTTCCGAGAGGCGCGGGGAGCTGGTGGCGACCTCTGTGCGCGTCTGCACCGGAGCTGGGGTGTCTGCACCGGAGTTGGGGTGTCTGTCGGGCTGCTGCGCGGGGCAGCCTGGGCGAAGCAGCCTTTGATTTGCCGGCAGCGAGGCAGGGCGAGTTTATAAGAGCGCAGCCCTCCCTCCTGGACGTTCGGGAAAAGGAAGGAAGTGCTGGTGGGAAGGGCTGAGGCTGCATTCTCGGATTACTGGGTCCTCCGACTCCCTGTGCCCGCCCTCGCGCCCGCCCGGGATCTGCGGGCCGGGATCAGTAACCGCGCCCAGGCTCCGGGCGGTCCCGGGCGGGGCTGCCAGGCGCAGACACCACCCCTGTCCTCAGGGCGACACCCCGGCTGCCTCCCCTCCGGCTCCAGGCTCACACCCCCCATCCTAATCTCTGGGTCCTCTTTCTTGTTCTTCATAAATATGCTGCTGTCATCAACTTCAAGGACAGCCTGTATTGCAGAAACCCTGGGAAGAGGTGACGGGAGCGGAGGGCTCCGAATGAAGGAGGCGGGGAAGGCGTGCCGGGCACCTGCGGGACTCTGGGAAAAGGTCTTCAGCAGAGGAGGGTTTGGGAGGGGCTGCGTAGGGCGTGGACTTCCCCAAAGATGCTATGGAAAGGAAAGGGAGCTGCACCCGCCCTCGCTCTGAAAACGGGGGTGCTCTCGGTCCCACAACACAGAGGGCGTGGCTAGACCGCGACCTTGAATGGAGGGAGAACTAGTCTAACTCCCGCGACTCCGCTCCTTCCACCCCCTACACACACACACACACACACACACACACACACACACACACACAGAGCTAGGGGGACACAGGAGTCCCTGAGCGCCTAGGCCAGATCTCCTCTGTCTCAGGAATACTGTGGTCCCTCACCCTGCAGAAGCGGTGGCAGGCAAAGGATCCCTATGGGTTGGGGGGGGGGGGGGGCGGTGTTGGGGAGCGCATTTGCCAGTTGGGTCTGTTTTGTCCAGCTTCACAGAGGGATAGTCCATAGTTAGTCCGTCTTGAACCCCCAAAGGAGTGGTGCACGGAAGTCCTCTCTGGCAGGCGCTGTGGGCTCCAAGCAGATCCTACTCTGATCTGGTAAGGATCCCCACCCCCCCCACCCCAATTTGGCTGAAAGATTAGAATGAAACAGAGATGCATATAAATGTCACTTGTGTGACAAAGGGCACTGAAGAGGGGCGACCCTGTGGAGTGGCGGGGCGGGGAGAGCTGGGAGTAGGCGATAGGAATCTGTCACTTTGGCGACCTTTTCCGCTTATTCACTTATCAAGAATGCGGAGGGGTGGGTCCAAAATAACACCCTTTGCTGCATCGGCTATTGTCATCCACAACGAATTACCAGTAGGCGGCGCTGTTGAACTCTAAACAAAGCTGAAGAAATTGGAAATCTCCACACTTGGACTAAGAGTTAAAAGTGTTGGGAATACAGTGGTCTGGCCTTGGCGTGGGCCAGGCAAGAGCATCCCACACTTCCGATCCCTAGACCTACCTATGGAAGACATGCCCTCTAGTAAGATCAGGAGAGTGTGGTGGTGTCCTCAGGAGAGAAAGACAAGCACCTGTGAGCTGGACTGGACTGAACTGACTACAGTGATCAAGAGGGCTGGGCGGGGCTGGACACTGTGAATGGGAAAGGGAACAGGTACATTGGCCCCTGCCTGCACTCCCTGACGCCTGGAGTTGATAGCTGGGACCAGCAGAGCCTCCTGAATATCCCACTTAGCAGCGTGCTAGGTCCTGGGAAAGCTGCCCCAGCTCCCTCACAGAAACGGGAGGTCCGGGTCTGAAGCTCCCCAGAACAGGGAGACTACTTCTCTGGGAAAAGGACGGGAAGATCAGCAGCTTGGACAGTCAAGCTGTTCCCAGTGGGAGCAGGGCAGGCACTGGCCTGGCATCCCCTGGCCTCCTGGACTGTCAGGGGTGATGCCTCCTCAGGTGTAGCCAGCCCCGGAGCATGGCCTGCAGACATGAGGGACATTGTCTGGGTGCATGAGACAAGAGATGGGGCAGGGAACCCTGGCTCCAAATTAACTAAGACTTTCAAAATGGTGACAGCAAAACATTGAACAAAGCCTGGGGCCCTACACGAAGCTATGAGACATCCAAGCATCTGGGCTTGTCCCACACCATTCTTGTTCACGTTTTGTATAGGTTCTATCCATGACCATCTTCGGTGGGACACCCTAGTCAAGTCTCATTAAATCTAATACTGACTCTTGAGAGAAAAAGGAGGGGGAAAAGGCCTGAGACAACAGCTTAGTAGCTCAATGATGTCTCTGAGACTCAGGCTAACCCTAGATGAGGAGTGTTGGATATTTCCATAGAAAGAAACCATGGCAACAGCTAAGTGGAGTGGAGCATTGACCCTGGGTGAGTTACCCTGGAAAAAGATGGATGGGCACACCGACTTGGCCTTTCTCATCCCTCAGACTTTACCTCCAGCCCTCAGCAGACATTCATCAACCCAGATCTGTTTTACTGGAATGAACACTGCTTGTCTCCTAAATACTGAAGCCAATAACGTGTTTTTGTTTGTTTGTTTTTATCTTTCTAGACACCATTGTTTGTGCTGTTTGTACCCTTGAGTCCTCACCATTCTCAAGTCCCTTCCTCCCAGCTCTTCTGGCATATCTCTCCTCCTGCCCCTCCTCTTCTCTTCTTGGTGGGGGTGTGTGGCCCTTTTCACCCTTCTGCCCAATGCGGGTCACCAGTCCTCAGGGCTCTGCCCATGCTCTCTGCCTGTTTCTTTATATCTCATCCTTTTTCAACTTAATCCATTCTCCTTGTCATGGTATCGATGTCAAATCAGACTGGGAATGGGGTGCCCAGCAGGGACCATCAAACCATTATTTCCCCGTATAAATATTTGAACCATCTTATCTGAAGTCATTGCCTTCAGACTTTATCAGTTTCTCTGGTTTGCCCTTGCCCTTATCACTGCTCTTGTAAGACAACTCTTTTCCTGGCTTCTTTTCTTTCTGGCTCTTCACCCCCTACTAACAGCCTCTGAATCCCCATACCCCCAGAGTGCCCTTGCCCTGCTGAAGAAGCCCAAGATGCTTCCACATTCTCCCCACTCAGACTCGCCATGCTGAAAGTGCTCAGATGCTCTGCCTCTGCTCTGTGGCAGCAAAATAGGAAACTTGCATGCAAGGGTCTGGGCTGGAGTTTGGGCCCGGTGTCCCTCCCCATTCACATGTTTTAAAGCCTGGTGTCCTTCTGGTCTCTACAGATGCTGAAAGTCTGAGCAAGGGCCCTGCTGACTGTGGGGAAAAGGCCTAATCCTATCTCACCTCCATTCCAGCTCTCCTGTCTTTTCCTCTGCCAGGAACATTCTTGTTTTTGCTTCTCCTCCATCTACTGAGCCCTGACCCTTCTTTCAGGCACAGGTGGTGGGCTGCACTATTAGAAAGGGTGTCTCAGGAACCACACCAGAACTCATCTCTCGGTGAAGTCCATAGGACTTTCTATCAGCACTTTAGCACTTACCACATTTTCTCTGCTTTATGTCATCACATACTTATGCTCTTTAATAGACTTTCAATCTAATTTTTCTGGGGATGGAGCATTGTTCTTATACATCTTTGTATTCCCATACAGCAAGTTGAGGGCATAGATGGTGCTCAGGAGTTACCTAAGCCCCTGTTGTATATGATGCTTTGTGCCCCTCCCCACTCCACCCCCGCTTCAGTCTGAGGTGTTCAGGTTAACCAACATACACAGGATGGGGGACCTCAGTGCCTCTGAGATAAGAGTGTGGGCTTTGGAGCCAACTCGGCTGGATTTGAGTACCAGCTCTATCATTTATAAGTTGTGTCATATTTGGCAAGTAACCCAGCTTTCTCTGTGTCTCAGTTTCCTCTGCTGTGCGATGGGAATTATAACAGTCACTCCTTCAACATGTTATTAGGAAGATTTGATGAGTTACACATCGAAAGCATTTAGAATGGTTGAGCCATAGTAAATGCCCAGAAAATTTTATCTAAAAAAGGATACAGTTGGATCCATAGAAATTGAAATAAGCTACTGATTTTATTCAATACCCAGCACAGTTCCTGTCCCTAGGAGACTCAGTAAATGTCTGTGGGTAAAATTTAGGTGAGCTGAGCATTTTTACCAATAATAAAATAAGGAACTGTGGGGGGGAAGGGGGGAGATTCAAAGAGAAGAAGCTGAAGGACCGAGGAGGAACAGAAAAGGAATGAGGCCGAAACCGGTTTGGCTCAGTGGATAGAGCGTCGGCCTGCTGACTGAAAGGTCCCAGGTTTGATTCTGTCAAGAGCATGTACCTTGGTTGCTGGCACATCCCCAGTAGGGGGTGTGCAAGAGGCAGCTGATCCATGATTCTCTTCGATGTTTCTAACTCTCTATTCCTCTCTCTTCCTCTCTGTAAAAAAATCAATAAAATATATTTTGAAAAAGAAAAAGAAAAGGAATGAAGACAGCCAGGGAAGCAGCCCTGGGCTCTGGGCCCAAGGAGTCCCCCTTTCCATCTGCCCTAATGGCATCCATTGTCAATTCCTCACTTTTCAGATGTGGAAACTGAAGGTCAGAGAGAATAAATGACTTCCCAAGGCCACACAGCTAGTAAATCGTGAAACAGAGATTCTTCAACTCACATTAGGATGAAAAAACTACTACCGGTATATAAAATATGAGTGAGCCCTCCTGATTTTACCTATTGCTAGAACTTTGTTAAGCAACTCTGGTTTTCTCCCCCCCCCCCCCCAACAGGAGATATAGTATCTAATTTACAGAATTCTCGTGGAAATTAGAAAACATACACACAGTGATTATTACCTTTCTTAGAACACAGCAGCTATTCAACAGTTGTTAGTTCTGGTGAAAAGCTTTGTGCAGAGCTTCTGGGTCACCTGGGTCTGGCAGGG